GGAGAAAAGTGAAGAAAGAAGCCAAGTGAGATTGGAACAAAACAGAGTTGGAGATGGGGCTGGAGATGTTAATGAGATCAAAGCATTTTTATGTTGGAAAGACATGAACAAGTAAGCTAGAAAGGTGAGGGTGTGTGTGAAGGGAGGCAGGTTTTAATAAAACATTTTTGAACTGATACGTTATTTATAGGCTATGAAAAAAACAAGGTCTTCCCACGGGAGTGGCTGGATGAGGCAGAATGATGAAGTTTTCTGGAGGTGAAGAGGCAAAGAGACGAGTGGCCAGGGCGTAGAAGGACTATGAACATAGACATTGATGGAAGGGCTGGAGATAGAGAGGAAGACAAGGATTCATCATCACCGATGAGTGAACAGAATCCCAGGAGGGGGTAGCAGTCAGTAATTAGGAGAGGAAGAATGAACTTTTAGAAAATGTTCGTAAACAAGTGGGAGAGGCTGGAGGAGTGTGATATCAGTACTATGGTTCTGAGTGATCAGGTAAAATATAATAAGGAAGCAAATTTTGAAATTTATAGTAAGGTAATTTCTTTCATACCCATAGACTGCTGATCACCAAAGTTTTTCAAATTATATACAGTTATTTATATATATTATGTACTATGTTATTATTGTATTAAAGTTATATATATATTACTATAATATGTTATTATATTATGCTATAATAAATACAATGTAAACACCATACAATAGTTTTTGATATCAGTCACCATTAAAATTATTAATTATAATTTAACCAATGAGACCAAAAATATAATTTCTATTTTGACAAATTTACATACAGTTCTACATATCTGATGGTACTTTTGTTCCATATAACTTCTAATGCAATGTGTAATTTTTATTCGTTTTTCTTTTCCTTTAAGACCTCAGACATGGCATGGGGACATCCTCATTAAGCAGTCTTTAAATTCAATCTTTTTCTCGTTTACTTTAAACAGGAAGATTTTGATTTATGAAATATGTTTCAAGGTTATCAAAGATCATGGCATACATATTAAAGCCACATTTTCACAGCCAAATACTGAAAGGTATTTTGTGAAGGAGGTAAACTATAAATAAGCAGCTGCATGACAACTTCCTTTGTAGTTTTCCACAGACTCTGATTAAATGTCACTATCAGATGTTTGTTTTTAACCGAAAATCTTGCCTGGAAGTTCTTAAACTGGGTAACCAGCAGTACACTTTTACTAATTCCACTCTGCAAAAATTTTACCTTGATTCATATCTATCATTCTCCTACAAAAGTTTGAGATTTATTCTTCAGGTCGGTGAGTATGATTGCTTTCACTTATTTGCTCTCTCTACAAGTTAAAAATGTAGGTCACTCTTTGACATTAATGTCAGCTTTTAACGAGAAGGTAACAAATGGTAGTTTCGGGGGTAAATAATTTCTGTAAACATATGTTACATGTTCATTTTATAAACAACAGCATGAGGTTGAATCCAGCTATCCTTTTTGCTTTTTTTTTTTTT